AATTCTTTTTTGGAACAATTCAAATGATTCTTTTTCATACTTTGTACAATATTTCGAATGCAAGTAATAATCAAACAACACATCTATACATTTCGAAAAACGCTTTCTATTAAATCGATTTACACCGGGTGGGAAAGTAAACAATTTAATAGCCGATATTAATTTATACCAAGGCCAAGTAGTTGCTGGTAATAAACTTGTTTTTCTAAATAGTCCATCATCAAACTCGGCAGCAGAAAGATTTTGTGTTTTTTATGTGTTTGTTTTTTGATAGTTGGGATTGGAACATCTTCTGGTTCATCAGGAACAACCATAAACGCCGATGTTATAACAGTGGTTTCAGGTTCTAAATCTTCATCATTGTTGCAACTAAAACTATGGATATTATGGTCATTGATAACATTGTCAACACATACTTCTTTTTGGTCAGAATTTCTTTGAACTTGATTTAAAACCGATAATTGTGTAAATTCATTTTTTGCTGATTCTATCATAGCAATGTTTGTTCTTATTCCTCTTATACTCATATAATTAAAAAACTTTGTTACAATATCCTTTTTTGAAAAAAATGAAGTATAATCTGGTAATGTTTTTGGATTTGCTTTATAATCACTTGTTAAATCTGATTTGAAAAACATTGAATAATTTTTCATTGCTTCTTCTTTTTCTTTTTCATTTATTAATTTCAATTGACTGGTTTCATTTTTCAACTTTGCATGATTTGCAAGTGATGTTTTTTCATCCACGTTTTATCAAATAAACACATAACATAAGATTTATCATTAAATTCAACATGAATATATCCTTTCAAAAAGAGATTTTGATCGTAAACGAAAGAAAGTTTTGGAGGAACATTCATTTTGTATGTTTTTTAAAGTTTGCTCGTTAATATAAATATTCTTGTTTTTTGTTAAAAATACCTTTTTATTTGTTAATATTTTGGAATAACATCGAGTTTGCTCAATGTTTTATCAAATATTATTTTTTTATTTGTAACATTTTTATAAAATATAGCTAATTATATATAAAATTTGTTAAAAAATATTGTTAATTTATATGTTAATTTTGGAAAAAAATTGTTCATTGCTAAATTATAAACAAAATAATTGAATAATTCAATTTAATTATATTTTCAAAATAAGAATCTCAGAAGGAAAGCTTGAAGTTTCTTAATAACTACAACTGCGTTGCTATTTTTAGGAATAACTACTATTAACGTGGGTATAAAAATGAATAAAACCCCCCTGTCAATCTCCACGAATGAGCAAAGTTGGGAGGGATCAATGATCAAGGATTTAAACTAAAGTCACATTTTTCCAAAAGTCCCTCCATTTAAAATTTTTAATAACTTAAATAAATAAAATGAATATCTAAATATTTTGATTATGGGAATTTTGATTAATTATATTAATAATTATTATAATACAAATTTAAAAATATTGTATATTAATACACCTTATTAAATTATTACATTCATGAATAAATAAGTATAAATGACAATAATTTAAAATATAATTTTAATAATTAAGTAATTTAATATTATAAATATAATTTAAGTGATTGAATGTGAACTAATATTGTTAGATACCAATTTCAAAAATATAGCATATTTAAAGCAGTTTGTCTTTAGCAAAAGTTTAAATAAAATTACTTTAAATTTATGTTTTAAACAATGAAATGATATTAATATAGTTAAATTACTATGAAATGTCCCGAATCTATATTTGACGAGCCGATTGGTTTGGTGATAAGAAGAAAACAATTAATTGAGTAAGCAAGTGAAAAACTTGAAATTGTTAAAAAGTAGCAAAAAATAAGAATAAAAAATAACGAAATCGAAGAGAAGTCGAAAAATTTGGCGAATGATAAAGACCTCCTTTCGGTTGAAAAGAAAGAGACTCCAGAGTGAATGTGGCCAACTCTTTAGGGAGCTTAACTCGACGAGTAACAAGACAAATGCGATGGCTTTGAAGACGATATGTCTGGAATGAAAACTGTGTTGGAAGGTATTGACTGGCTGCTAAGACATACAAACGTGCAAAGGACATGTATATGTAAATTTGACTGTGAAGAAAAACAATCTTAAAGTCATATGTTTTTCTCTTTTATTTAGGAGACGCTTGTCATCAGGCATTTGCGGCAACACGTTAAAGACTTGTTGGTGAGCCCTTTGACTCGTTAAATAAAACAACGTTGTATCAGCTACTTCTAAACGTCTTCGTGAATTGTTTACCCTCATCGTGTAAATGAGGGTAAACACCCAGAGCTTAAACCTTTAAGAAGAACGTTCAAATGGCCGAACAAGAGAAGGTCGAAACTATAAAAGACTATAAGGCCGTTTCTGAAGAATTGATGAAAACAAAGACGGAATTTGACGAGAAATAAGACAAATGCGACAAACTTGAAGACGATATGTCTGAGATGAATACGGAATTGGAAGCCCTCGAACAGGTTGCTAAGACTTATAAACAATCGAAGAACACTTATGAGAAGAAATTGACTGAGTAGAATGAGCAACTTGATCTTGAAAGAATAACTGCTCAACAGACTAAAACCCAGAAGAAGAAATACGCCGAGTAGCTTAGAGAAGTGATGGAGAAATAAAACGAATTCGGTGAATATAAGGAACAAGCCGAGAAATCTATCAACTCGTTGATTGCTCAAAAAGCTGATTTACAGAAGGAACTTGAAAAGGAGAGAGCAGTGAAACAACAAGCCAAGAGAAATTTAAAGACTTCAATTTAAAGTTATCGATTTGAAATCTAAATTGGCGGACACTGGTGCGACTGGAGCTTTAATCGCTAAATCGAAAGCGAAATATGAAACAGAATTGGATGTAATTAAACCAGAGAAGGAAAAAACACGAAACGCCACTGATTAAGGTTGAGAAGCAAACCTAACAATACACCAGAGAGGTTGAAGAGGCTGAGAGAAAGCTTGTAGAATTCGAACAGAAGGAAGCTACTTTAAATAGGTAAGACACAAGCCGATTTGAAAAAGACACAACAATCAGTCAGAGACGGTGAATTAAGAGTGCAAA